AGTACTATAGCTTACCAGAATTCCTAAGATAAACTGGGGAAAAAAATAGCGTATATGATAGAGGCTTATGTGGAGCCCTAAATCGTTTGAATAAATTCATTGACGATTGTCTGGAGGTTCTTCATTTGTAAACGACCTAAACTCCTCACAAAAGATGCTCTGAGATAACTAAGACTCAGGATAAAGAGCATTTACTAAAATCGTCTGTTTAACTAGTCTCTTCATGTGAAGTCCAAACTGAAAATGAAGATGGGGCATGCAAATCGGGTCTCCCTCTAGATGTTATTATAGCGAACAAGAATATGCCAATATTTGATTGAAGTTAGCCGTAAAAGGTCAATATTACTGCCAAGCTGCATCATCCATACCAATTTTAAATTCTTCTAGACTTGTTTCTTGGCCATAGGTTTTTTCCAGCATTGGATAGTGCTCATCCTCGACCATAACCCAGAAAACGCGTTGCAGATGATGCCGGGCCACGTTCTTGAGGAGGTTGGAGTAAATCTGATAGGTTCCTTAAATGCAAGTAAATCAATAGATGGACAATAAAGAAAGAGATCGTTATTAATTAAAACACATAATAACCCACTATTACTTATACTAAACTTGATTTGCTTTGCTTGGTTTCAATAGAATTTGAATAAAGCTGATCAGCATTTTCACTGGGACAGTGTTTAATTTGAATTTAATTCAGTATATTATATTTTAATATAATATATAATATATACCCGCACCAATGTAGTATATATGTAAATATGCTATAATATACTATATTTACATACAATGCTATACTACGATATGCCATACAATAGATTATGATATATTAATTTATTAAATATAATGTACTGAGGGATAAATTTATAAACTAACTTGCAGTTAGCATCAAGAGAAATAATGGACTTGATCAAATAAAGAAAATCTCGTTAAATGACTTCTTTCTATAGCACATACTTCTACGGGTAGGTTAAATATGCTCGAATATATACGAGAAGAATTATGCCTTCTGCCTCTCCGGCGAAACCATTCGAAAATCTCTTTTATCGTATTTTATTATTAAATAAACATCTTCTTAAATGAAAGCGCATAAACTTCACAGAGAATGGCGTTTTCGCATATATGCAAGCCTTAGGAAGCTGAAACTAAGGCAGATAGTTTCTTACATGCATGCGTTTATTTGCAATTTTTTCTCATTTTGAAACAATCAGTGAAACAAATTCCAGTATTATAGTATATTATTTCCTCAAAGCAATTGCATACCTCGTTTTAAGGGTCCAGTGAAGTCAAATATCGATACAACGATACAAACAGTGCGATTTTCAACAAGTTCATAGAACTTTTCGGTGTTCTGAGTAAACTTGGCAACCAATGGGATGGACTGCATCATAGCATGCATCATCAGCCTAAAGATGCTATAGATATCAATGGCATCCTGTAAGTGACAAAAACAAGGCTCATTTAAATCAAGGACAAACATGATTAGAAGTTTTATCATTAAGAAAATGTTTTAGTGAGAGTTATTAATATAATTCAAATGCATATTTTGTATCTTAGGGCTGGATTCAACCTATGTTTTTAATCTGAACAAGAACTAGTAGTTGAACTTTTCCACAATTATATGAATAGGTCTCATGTTTCCATTGAATTTCGCATGGCTTGCTTATCAGAAGGTATCCTCATCCAGGCTGTAGTGGACTGTAGTTTCGACCTCACTCTGACCTCATCATCATCCCCAGCGGGACTCGAACCTGGGTTGTCACAATGCTGCATATAGTCATTAAGCGCTAAACACTACGTCACAATACGACCAGTACCTTTAAGTAGCAGGTTTGATGTGAATCTCAAGGAAGCCTAGGCATTTCTATTATCACATTTCGGTGATAGGATTGTCAACGAAACTATTATCATTGACTACCTTACTTATTTTTCTATTACAAGATCGTTTCCGAGATTATCAGTATATCTGAATTAAGAAATGTCAAAAACCTACTCTTCAATGGAAATTAAGTAATGTAGTCGATTGTAATAGCAAATATAAATCTGCTTCATCGACAATCCCACTACATGAATTGATGTGTGAAAGGCTTTTCCTGCCTTGAGCTTCATCCCGGCTCTGTGACCAAAGGGCACTTGTGTCAGTCTGGTGTATCAAGGATGCCGAAGGGACCTAAGCGAGGTCGAAGCTGCAGACAACTACAGCCTGGATGTGACTAACTTTTAAGAGGCAAAGCTATGTGAAATTCAGTAAAAGCATGAGGCCTGTTCACAGTATGTGTGCAAATTCAACTGCCAGCCCCTATTAACTTTAAACGAAAAAGGATAGGTATAGACCTTATACCAGATCTACTATTAGCCTTAAGAATCAACTAATAAATGAAAAGCAGTTTTTATCTGTCCGTCATTAGGTCATTAGAAGAATAAAGCCAGTCTGGAAGACTTCTGCTCACAACTAGATGGGGCCATGTCAGAATTCTGCATGACCTTTCCTTTAAATAATCTTGTCCCTTTTACTAGATTAGGCCTAGAAGCCCATACAATACATTTGTAATGGGCAACTCCACTGCTGAAAACGAAAATCTTCCTATAAATTACTATTATTCTCGACGCTTCTTTATAGAAATCCCATTTATAGGAATCTAAAAAGGTCCGGCAAAGTCGCATATAAAATTTTAATGCAGCTATCTCGAAGGTAGGATGAACATGAGGTTAACTTATTTTCTTTTAATCGCAGAACTTTGCCCTTGCATGAATTTGCAGTAATAATCTCGCTTTAGCTTCAAAAGTCACAGGAAGAAACGGAATCGGAGCTGATAAGTGCTCAACTGGTCTATCAGGGACGACTAGCTGATTACTTAACAAGACGAATAAAGAGGAGTTTTGACTATCTTATTACACTTAGCTTAAGCATTTTGTTCTGTAAGAACAAAATATAGTCCCAGAAACACTATCAAATCGAATTGAACCCGGGACGTGCGACTGAAGTGATAAACAAGTCACCTCTTCGACCACTTGATTTATGAGTTATTGGTTTAGGGGTTAGCTATGAGTCTTAAAGTAGAGCCCGACTATCCAGACCTACATCAATACTGGGAACGGTTCTTCT